GATTCATTGTGCATTTAAGGATTATGTGAATGAACTCTCACCTAGGGGGAGCTCCTAAAATCTAGGAAGTCTGTGCTGAGAATTAGGTGGAGGTACTCTCACTTATGGTATGTTCCTAAAATCTAGGAAGTCTATGCTGAGGATTAGGAGGAACTCTCACCTAGGGTGTGTACTTAAGCTCTAGGAAGCCTACACTGAGGACTAGGTGGATGGGCTCTCACCTAGGTTGTTCTTCTAAAGTGTATAAAGCCTAAACTGATGATCAGATGGATAGACTCTCACACATGGTGTGCACCTAAAGTCTAGGAAGCCTACACTGAGGGTTAAGTGGATGGACTATCACCTAGACCTAAAGTCTAAGAGGTCTACACTGAGGACTAGGTGAATGGATTCACACCTAAGGTGTGCATTTAAGGTTCTAAGATTAGGAGGCTAAGACCTCACTAAAAATGAGGTCAACACATGCCCATCTAAAGCCCTTTTAAAATTCTTTTTAATGGGAAATCCACAGATATAAACTTGTGGTTAGCAACTCTCTTTTTTTCTGGCACAAATTTATACCTCTATTGACATCTTTCTTTGCTTGGAGATTACTTCTTGATTTGATTCTTATGGATGATTCTAAGTGCTTTTGCTGCCATGTTAAAATAACAGGCATCATTTATTTATTCAAAACCCAATTATCAAAAAGGTATGATGTTACTTTCCTAACCTTTTACACATAAACCCTCTAAGTACCCACTGTTCCCAAATACTCATTAATGATTGATAATCCTTTGGTTACCTCATTTCTGAGGTTCATATTAATGTTTTAATTCCTTTTTTACCTTGTGTTTCACAAGGTTAAAAACAGAATATTGCTAAACCATACTAGTCAATAGTGAATAGTGCACCATAGAGCAAATGACATGGTGTGTGTTATTTTAAATACGACAAAATATTAAAAAAATATATCTAAATATAAATACAACTAAAAATAAAAGACAATTGAAAAATAACCATCATGCCATTAAAAATTACAAAATATTGCTTAAGCTCAAATGCTCAACATCTCAACTATTTAAAATCAAAATATTATAATTTTTTTGCATGTTTAGTTTTTTTCTAGAGGAATTAAATTAGAAAAAATGAGAATCATCATTATTAACATTACAAGTAAAACAAATCTCATTTTCTTAAAATCACCATTATCTCCTAAATCATAATCTTCATCATCACCACTATCTTCATATTCAATTACAACAATGTTCAACCTAGGCGAAGAATCTCTCTGTCTTTAAATGACTCTCGAATATTATATTTTTTTTCATAAATATCGGTGGCTTTTGCAATAGTACTCAATGTCGAATCATTCAAACTAATAATTAATCTATTATTTTTATCTTACTCGCAGTCTATTTTTTCCTATTTAACACTCATTAACATTAGTTATGTCAAAAATGTCATGATGACTGCATCTTCGAATCAAAGCCCTATTATATTTGACATATACTAAAACTTTAAGGCGATCATGATCCAATCTTGCTTCTTCTTTTGCTACAAAGAAGCAATTAAAAACAACTAAAAATACTAAATTATAAAGTTTCTTAATAATAATCAAAATGCGTAAGAGAGGAAGCTAAACAACATAAGAGAGGAAGCCAACTAGGACACAAGACTTGAGTGATGGGATAGGTCTTAATAGAAACTAATAATAATATATTAAATAATATAAATATTAATTTATAACCCAAAATCATATAAATAAGAAAAAGACTCTTTGAGAGCCATTTGCCATATGTTATTGCATGCGCATAATACAGATAATGCGCACCATTTTAACGCTCTACCTCATGCCATGAAAATGGTAAGTGGGGCATGCTGCTCTGAACAATCCATAGTGCATGCTATTTTGCATTGTTTCCATTTATGCACTAAACACATAAAAAATAGGTTTAACTGGCACAACATAGTTTCAATAATTGATAAACATCCATTACACAATAGAGATGACAAATTGGTAATCTTTCATGTAAAGGCCACCCACCCTTTGCACCATATTTTCACACATAGGATTAACTGGTGCAAAAGAAAATTTTATCTAAATTGGTGAGATGGTTAACGTGAGCTAGGGTTTCTTAAACTTAATGTTGATGGTTATTCCAAGGATAACCCATGTATTGTTGCTAGTGGTGGGATCTTATGCTTGGAAAATCTATAGATATTAATTATAATTTTTTTGTGAATTAAATGAATTTATAGGCTAGGGGGCTTAAATTTCATCGTATTTAAAATTTTCATATTAAGAATGACTCAATATATGTTACAAATCTAGTTTATCAATGTTAATTTTCTTAACTAGAAGTTCTACAATATCTTTAAAAATATAAAACAAATTTTAAAGATAATTTATGCTCAGAGTTACTAATTATCTCAAAAAAGAAATATGTTCTTTTCCCCAAGATAAATTTCCAAATAAAATAATATTCTTTCACCCCACATCCTCACACGCACTCTCACGAAGAAATCGTTGTAATTGTCATAGAGATCGATAGCATGAAGGGATTTAACCAATTATTCTGATGTGTCTGCCCTTTGGCCATGAGTTTGATCTGACCAGTGAGCCTTATTAGTTTAGTAAGTCCCACCATTGCTTGGAATGGAAATGCAGGATCTAGGTTTAGAGGACCGTCCTATAAAGCTTCCATGTCTCCTCCGACTGCTAACAACTCCGGCCAACAAGACCAAGGCATCTCATGGTATTTGACTATCCAATCACTTCCTTCACAAGGTCTATAAATTAGATATCCCATTTCTTGAAAGAAATTAATCTTAAACTATTTAACAAGGGTAAAAAAAATTGAAATTTCCATTTGAATGCAGATGAAAAACTTCCCAAATCTAAAATCAAAAGGTCCTAAAATCCGTTTCGCTGACATCAATCATTGATTACACAAAAATTAAAATTTAAATAACGAAAGTCATCTGAATTACCTGTGGCATGCCACCCTAAAGCAGAATAAGGACTAATAGCCTTCAATTTTGAGATGCAAACCTCAGCATCCCTCCAATTGGACATACTTGTATAAACAGTAGCCAGATCATACCAAGCTCCCATTTCTAATTTTCTATCTACCTCAGCAATCTGCCAAAAAGAAAAAAAAATAGAGAATAAAAAAGTGACTTTTAATGTAAAAATCATAAAGGTACATTTGAATTAATAAATGAATAATGGGAGAAGGTTATTTGTGTAACCTTTGAAGACTTCGTTTGAAAAACCAAATTTTTATTCCGAAGTCGGATCACTGCAAGAAGATTAGTATACGTCTCCACGGCTTTCTGTAATTGCCCTCGCGCAATCTGGATTCTCGCTTTGGTTCGAAGAAGTTCGCCCTGGCTCCATTTTCCCGTCTGGTCAATGGCAGCATTAACAATCGTCTCGGCATCAACGAACCTCTTCTGCGCTGATAATATTCGAGCCACAAGAATCCAACTATTCACATTTGATCCAGCTTCCAATTTCAATAGCTGTTTGGCATAACTGAGTGCAACGTCCAACTTCCTCTGCTTCGCATTTTCTAAGCTGAGGTGATATATCACTCCGCAGTCTGTTACTTGCATAAATTTCACAGCATTTTCGAGCGCCTCGAGTGCTTCGTCCTCTTTAGCAATTCTTTCGGAATCAGAAGCGGAGAACCTTGCCTGAGCTGAAAGAGAGATTCCTAGTAAGAAATACGCGACGCTTTGAAGTGATTCGCACCTTCCATCCAAAGTAGTGAGCGTCCTGTGCGAGAAGGACGCACCTTCTTCCGCATAAGCACTGTTCTCCCCGCAAATTTTGGAAGCTAGTAAGAGCGCTTTAACGGAGTTCGGACCCTCCCTATCACTGAAAATCTTTTTCAGCAGGTTCAAAGCAGTCAAAATATCGCCCTCTCCAAGATAACATAACCCAAGTTTATAATATCTTTCATTTCGATCAAGAATACCTGGAAGCAATTCCTCAAACCGATTCGCGAGAGGTTTTAGCTGGCCCGAGATTGACAACGCAAAGGTAAGATGCTCGATTATTGATGGATCCCATTCAGCTTTCTTCTCATTGAAATCACTCAAGAGAAGCATTAAGAGAATGATGGCCTCCTCCAAATTGTTCTTAGGCGCAAAGTAATTATCCATTTGAGAATGCTGATTAGGAGGACTTGAATCACAGCCCCCATAAAGAAGAAAAATTGCAAACTCTTTTCGTATTTTTCCAATGCTCAGGGGATCAAGGTTCCACTTTCCAAGAAGAGCCCGGCGATATGATGAAATGGCTCCATGAGAATTATCAGCCATTTTCCACAACTCTGGAAGTAATTCAACAGATTTGCAGACTATGTCCTGCAATCTACATCCTCTTCTAAAGATTGTGGGCAAACCATTCGGTGCAGCAGATTCAACCATATCCAGAATTGAATTGCAGGTTCGTGCTGCTTCTGTAGAAATTAAGCAAAATAAATTCACTATAAAATCTATTCAATTCAGACATTAGTTGTTCAGCTTAAAAATAGACTAGTAGTCAACAAAAACAAAAGAAACAAAGGAAAATTTACATAAATACCACTTAGTTCCTAAGTGTTTACATATCTAACAGTAAAACTTCATTTTTTACATATTTGCCACCTTACCTATGCATAAAAAGGTGTAGTTCACTCTTTAAAAGTTAAGATAGTAGTATTCTTTATGTGATATAAAATACTTAGGCATTATAAATGTAAAAATTAAAATTTATGTGTTAGACATGTAAATACATAGGAATTGGGTGGCTTGCATGTAAATGCCTCCCAAAAAAAAATATCAACTATCAGAATACATATTGAGAGATGGAGTTCAGGAGTCAAACCGTTGTAACCTTTCATTTAGAAGTGAACCATAAACACTTGTTATTGTATTTGCGCATAATATGAGAGAAGGCAAACCGTTGTAACCTTTCATCTAGAAGTGAACCATAAACACTTGTTATTGTATTTGCAAGAATAAGATTACTTAATATAGGTGTATTAATCTAGATAACTGCCTCTAAACTATTCAAATTGAGATGCAAAGAAATTATGAGAACTTAATTAAAACTATTTCAATCTAGTTAACCAATCATTAGTATAACTAAACAAATAAAAAGTCAACCTCAAAGTCAATAAATTATGTAGTATAATAAGTATTGAACACATATCAAAGTATATAGTATACAAAAACCTTAACATATTAACAACATAACAAAATAAAAAGTAATAAACTATGTAATGCATCAAAAAATATATTAACATCCTAACATCAAATTATGAAATAAGAAGTGTTATACAAACATCAAAGTAACATAAGATATTAGAATAAAAACTAACAAGATAACAATTCGAAAAAGATTAAACACAATAAGTCTAGATCCCAGTCCTACAGTCCAACGTCAAAGTAAGAACATGCAAATAATTAGCTATGAAGATTAAAACTTCTAAAATTAAAAATTCTCATTACTCTCAACAGCCAATGGATCTTCATTAGAATCAAAGTTGGAATGAATTACTCTCTTCCCCACCTCATCATTATTAATCAATAATAAAAAAAAATAGCAATTAAAGTTTAAAATAATAACCATATTGATGGCTAAAATTTTAGATACCTAAATCTTATTGATATCTTTTCATTTTATTTATTTTTGGTGTGTTAAATCGACTTGTCTTGACTATATCCCCATTGAAGAAATCATTATTAAAATTTTGTCGTAAATAGGATGGAATAACTTCATTATCATCATCTATAAATATTTCATTATCTAATGACATGTCATTATAAATTAAAAGATCACCGTTATTGTTTAAAACTTTTTTTTTGTAGTTGTCAATCATTTAATCTCTTATTATATATTACGTAAAACAAAGAATTCATTCTTAAATGTAATTAAGCAAATTATGCTTGTTTGGTATGAACTTGATTATATACACTCCAGTTTCACTCACAATCATATGACAAACATAAGGCCAACAAAAACGTGGGAGCTGAGAGGAGGGGATCAATTGTGAGACTGCAAGCAAGTTGAATGACGGGTGGATCATGAGGAAGAAATAAGAATTGCATTTTTAATTTTTAATATTCTTTTACTATTTTATATTAAAAAAGCTTAACCCTGAATAATATGAGGTGCATGCCTCACACATCTTGAGACTCGCCTCATAAACCTTAAGGCAAGGCGTGCCTCATAATATATAAGTTGTACGCGTCGCATTAAAGTCCATGAGGCGCATGAATCATGGCAAAATTGCTTAAGAAAATTGAGAAAATTCCAAAAGAAACCCGTCTCACGGTGAAATTGCTGAAAAAGTGTTGACATGTATATCAAATTGTGCATGTTTAAATAATAACCATAGCTTGTATGCAGTTCTCATATAGGGAATTGTGCAAGTTTATATAATAACCATAGCTTGAATGCAGTTCTCCTATAGGGAATACCAATAGAATAAAAAGATAATTAAAGAGAAATGTTGGGCACTAAATGATGTGTAAAGTAAGCTCAAAAACATACATCTATAAAAAATATAAAACATCATAAAAGAAGAAAAAAAAAACATATAAAATGCCAACAAATTTAATTTTCAGGGTTTACCTGCAAATTTGCCAAGGTCATTAAGTGCCCTTGCTTTAAGAAATATAGCCTCCATTAGTAAACTAACTGCATGTATTGACATAGGCGGTGCATTCCCTTGTAACTTTGACTTATGATGACGCTCCATTCTTCTAGCAATAGAGATCTTAATTTTAGGTGTTATTGCAGCAATATCAATTCCATCAAATACATGAAGTGCAGCTTCTATGTTTCCTCTTTGATACTCCAACCTTCCAAGCAAGGCTCTTGCCTCCTACAAAAAAAAAAAAATGAAAATAAATTAGAAGGAGCTGGTAAATTTAGAAATATAGAGAATAATTTGCACTCTGCATGCAGCCATGCAAATCTATAATAATATTTTTTGTCAGCTAAATTGCACTTGAATAATACATGATCCAAGATCAATTACATGAAATAGTAACCAAATTCTATGAAATTCATGATGACCCAGACTTGCATGAAACTTCTACCGAGAATCAGCGTTATGTCGATTACACATCTTAGGTTGGTCAGAACTGAGGGACAATGCCCCCCTAACCTAAGTGGGCATACCAGCGAAGCAACTGGTACTGAATTGGTCGGGGGGCGGTTTGGTTTCGTGCAACGCCCCCGCTGCAGGAACAGGCGGTTCTCATTGGAAAGTCAACGCCCCACCCGTCAAGGACGCCCTCGCTCTATTGGGAAAACACTTTGAAAGATCTTAAGCATCCATGCTGCAAGCAGCAAGCATAGGCTGAAAAGGCAAGACTCTCACGTTGGGGTGAGGCGCGCCAAAGCAACCGGGGACCCGGAGGGGTCAGTACTAAAGTAGTTTCATTTTAGGTAAAAACATAAACAAAAACAAAAATTAAAAAAATTGAAAAATAAAAAACAAAAGTGATCACAAAAGTCCCCTAGCCTACGTCCCACTTCTCCTTCATTTCATGTTTTTAGGCGCATTCTTTGAATTATGCAACTAATAGAGTAGCATTTTTATCAGCCAAAAATTGGACAGAGAGTGTGGAGGAAGAAAGGAACATTATTTCATTTTATTCCAATTAACCCTAGTTGAATGGTTGGGTATAAATGACAGCACCTATCCTCTAGCAAGGATGCAAGCAGAAAACTACAACACTAACATAGAGAAGTACAGCAGAAAATCGCAGCCAGGGAAGCATTTTGTACTAGTAATTATACAATAAATTCTTTGCTGAAAAAAAAATTTCCAGCAGCGGATTTTTTCCTAAAAACAAAACAAGAAAGCAATATTACACATTCAAACAGCACTTCTACGCTTTCTAGATGAAGGGAATGTAGGATAGGAAATCCTTAAGTGCAAAGTCATTCAAGGAAAAATAAGAATTTTTATTAATGCCGTCAAACACTTTCCCTCAAACTAAATTAAGGTTTCTAAAAGAGCGCTTCTGAAACAAAGCCCTGTTACGATGCTATAAGTCCATCTAAAGTGTCCTTGAGTTGTAGAACGCCTATTGCACACCATCACGGGTGAAAAAGAGGGCAAGAACCACGAGTGAGAAGTGTCCGCATTCAATTTTGGTCTGGTTCCAATTTAGTTAAATCAAATAAGGGGATGTTAGGCTTGTTGAAAAGGGAATGCAATGTAAAAGTAATGTATTATATTTAAAATACTTTGAAGTTCTCTGGTTCAATATAAAATAAAGACAAGACTTTTTTTTTCTTATTATTTGATTTAAAGAAAAACAAATTCAATGTAAATTATGCCCAACGGCTGAGCAGGCGGCGGGTATCCTTATTAATACTCTTCATTAATCGCAATTTGACAATCTTACTTTGAAACAAAAAAAATATAAATATATAATCATAGCTTAAGGGGAATGTGTAAATTCTACAATCAAACATCCACAAATTTAACTCCTGTCATCGTTCACCAGCCCACATTGAGAATGTTGGTTACTCCCTATATTGTGGTATGCATTAATGCCTCTTGCCAATACCTCTTTCACCTTCCATATGAGCCCATTAGCTGCCCCTTTGCCTTCCATGCAAGATCCTTGGTATAAATTATCCACTACCTTACAAGAAATGGGTTTATTTGCTAAATTCATCCCCAAATTTATTGTAAACAAATATGTTAATTTCATTCATTTTCACCTCTTTATTGGGATGTTCATGAGCTGATTATATTTTTTTATCTTTCTTCTGATTCTAGACTCACTACTTAGACTATAAATATTACACCTTTCTACTTAATGGAACATGGAAATATGTAGTAATTTTCACTCATATTTCTTAATAAAAAAATCCATAAATATCCTTCATCTTCAGTCTCTAAAAGACATTTAAAGAAAAAATTTGTTTTCCAAAAAAAAATTGTATCCATTGATCCAAACATAATTTTCCTTTTCAAAAGTTAGCTTTAACCCCTGGTTGGCACCACACCAACAGAAAATGCAGTTGAAAGCTCTTGCAACAAGTTTGTTCTATTGAGCTCATGGGTGTGAACAAAGGAGGCAAATCCAAAATACTTTTATAGGTAGGTCACTAGTGTAAAAAGTTCAGGGAAATATTTAGATAAAACAACAACAAAGCCTTAATCCCACTACGTGGGATCAGCAACATGAAATTTTTTTCTCCATTGAGTCCTACTTAGTGTCATATTTTCATTTAGTTCTAATATATTAAGATCATTTTTTATACAATAAACCCAAGTCTTCCTAGGTCTTACCTCTGTCTTTCTTAACATAAGATGAATCTAAAACACTGTCATTGCCGGTTCCAAGCCCTTATGTGAAAAGTTGAGGGTTGTGTTAGGTAGTCGGCAGCCAGCGTAAAACTTGTCGAAAAAATCATGACATGAATATTTAGATAAAATAATTACTAAAATTTAAATAAGTACAGACATTGACGATGCCCAATACTTAAGTTATTCCCGCTTAAGAATTCAACAATATTTTGAAAGGATCTCCCAATGTTGGTTTGGAAAGCATGGATATTCTTGCAAGTAATCCAATTTGCTTGGATTTGTCACAATTAGTTTGTTTAACATGCAATTCCCAGCAAGTTTCTTACCTTTGATTAGTTTTTTTTTTCTTCGATATCATATATTACCCCCTTTTAGGTTAACATTCTTTGAGTTTCTTCTTCGCACACCACAGTTAAAACTTCTTCAATCACTGGTAATAGTTAGATTCCTTATATCATCCCAAGAGTTTCTATAAGGCATGTTGAGAGTAGCAAGGAAGACACATCCAAGTTTTATCAACACCATAATCATGTATTTTCCAATTTATTTGTTGAACCAATCAATTAGTTCAAACATGCCCACCTCTTGCCCAGTTTTGTTAAGAGCCACGTAATATGCTATTAGAAGTTATTAGTGATGATTTTATTCCTTTCCAGCTATTTCTTAGTTTATGTTAGATGCTATAAGTATTGATTTATTTCTTTTCTAGATTTTTCGTATTTTATGTACTTCCTATTGTTTTTCGTCTTTGTCAGAGTAGTTATTAGGAATTGATTAATTGTAATCTTGGAAATATATGTGTAATATATTTCCTATTTTAAAATTCATGTAACCTGCATTTATACCTCGTTCATATCAAAAAAAAAAAATTATTCCGCTAAAATTCTCAAAACCTACATGGTATCAGAGCCTTGAAAAAAAACCTAAGAGTCTCCTCCGACGGAGAAGATGAAGATCTCCTGCCACCGAAAACTTCCTTACTCCCCACAACCGACAATTTTTCCCTGCATGCCCTAGGTGTCGGAACTCCTTCCCTTGCAGTCCACTAGCCGCCAGAACTCTCTCCTTGCAGGAACTAGTAGTCGGGACTCCTTGTATGATTGATGAGGACGGCTAAAGAACTCTCTCCTTGCAGGAACTACTATAGGAACTCGCTCTTTGCAGTCCTCTAGCCGTCGGAGTTCTCACTGCAATCTTTGACTGCAGTTTCTGAGCCTTAGAACAACCCTAGTCGCCAGACCTCCTCCTTTTGCTTCAAAAATTCTGAACTTCGGACCTCCTCCTATTGCAGAATTTCAGAACTTTCCTTGGAGGTGGAGAATTGGATTTTGCAGTGGGTTCAAGTGCTAAATCTTCAGGTTATCCGTGGATGCCATGCAGATAAGAGGCTAAGGCCTTTGCTTAAGCAGAATGCTTCTAGCGGGGCTGCATAAAACCATTTTCTTGCCCAACTTCTTCAACATTTTGTATGCATCACAAGTTGCATTTCTTGCATGTTGCTTACGTCTTCCAGTTGTTTTTGTTATTGTGGGGAAGATTAACAAGCAGGAAAACATGTTATTCCCAATTTCCTTTAGGGGTTTTCTGAATTTGACCTTTCCTTCGTCTATGAGAAAGTGAGAAGACGTGTTGGGGACTCATGCGTCCATATGGAGCCAATTACTACATCCACCTCATTGCATGCAATCTATTA